ATGAGGGTGGTGAGGGTGGGTGGTGAGGGTGGAGGGTGAGGGGTGAAGGTGGGTGGTGAGGGTGGAGGGTGAGGTGGTGTGAAGGTGGGTGGTGAGGGTGGAGGGTGGGTGGTGAAGGTGGGTGGGGTGAGGGGTGAAGGGGTGAGGGGGGTGGTGAGGGTGGTGAGGGTGGGTGGTGAGAGGGGTGGTGAGGGGTGAGGGTGGGAGGTGAGATGGGGGTGGTGAGGGGTGGTGAGGTGGGGGAGGGTGGGGAGATGAGGGTGGGGAGGTGGGTGGTGGGAGGGTGGGAGGGTGAGGTGGTGAGGTGGTGGGTGGTGGGGAGGGTGGGTGGGTGAGGTGGTGGAGGTGGGTGGGTGGGGGAGGGTGGAGGTGGTGAGGTGGGGTGGTGGAGGGGTGGAGGGTGAGGTGGTGAGGTGGTGGTGAGGGTGGGAGGTGGAAGGTGGTGAGGGTGAGGGTGGTGAGTGGGGTGGGTGGGAGGGTGAGGTGGGAGGTGGGTGGTGGAGGGGTGAGGTGGGTGGGGTGGTGAGGTGTGAGGGTGGAGGAGGTGAGGGGAGGTGAGGGTGGGTGGTGAGGTGGAGGTGGTGGTGAGATGAGGGTGGTGGAGGTGGGTGGTGAGGGGTGGAGGGTGAGGTGATGGGGTGGTGAGGGTGGAGGGTGAGGTGGTGGAGGGTGGTGAGATGAGGGTGGTGAGGGTGGGTGGTGAGGGTGGGTGGTGAGGTGGTGGGTGGTGAGGTGGTGACATACATACATCAGGTACACATTGGGTGACTGAGAGTGAAAGTGGGGTTCCATAAGCCTCACGGCCTAAGTCAATACAATTAACTTAAGTGTGTGTGTGTGTGTGTGTGTGTGTGTGTGTGTGTGTGTGTGTGTGTTACATACAAAATATAAATCTTAAAAATAATAACGTAAAATCACTACATCAGATTCGATTAAAGAAACAATTGTCAAATATAAAGATGATGATGATGATGATGATGATGATGATGATGATGGTGGTGATGATGATGATGATGATGATGATGGTGGTGATGATGCCAGATCTAGTCAATCACATCCACCATCACCCGTTAACACGTCACTGTGGCGTAAGAGTCACCGCTACGAGAGAGAAAAACAGTTTAATATTTACGTAGCTAAGATATAAACAAAACTAAATTAACTTATCAGACGGAAAAATACAAGAGATTCACAAAACAACAATAAAACTCATTTATCGGCAAGATTCGTTACGCTCTGGGTGTGTCAGTCTCAGCAGGGAACTAAAATAAAAATACTCTTGAGAAAATTATATTACCAAAGAAATTTTTATATTAAATCACTATGTATCTACTAAAATGTCATTCGTTTATATATTAATACAAGCATTGTTCATAATTTTTAGTGGGTGGTAGTCTTTATGCATCGAAATATTGGTGTTAGGGTTTAAACAATGAATTTTCTACATAGAATATAATGAAGTTGCTTAAACATTCATCACTGAAACGTTCTGTAACAATGATTATATAATTTATTTCAATATTATTCTTTTCTGATTTTTTTTTCTTCTTTTTGGTGAAGTTCTCATGTCAGGGTAGGTCAGGGCGTAGACTTTATACGCGCTTATTAATCCATTCTCTCTTACTCTCTTAAGCAAGCTTTTATACACCTTGCGACTGACTATATACAATAGCTTTGAGTTGGTTAATGAATGGTGAATAATATACATACTTTGGTGTGTGTGTGTGTGTGTGTGTGTGTGGATTAGCGATTGGCCGTAGACGATCATGTAGAATTGTAGAGATTAAATATACATATACATGAATACTTGCATAGAAAACCTAACCTAAACTAACCTAACCACCCACACCCAGATCTGCGCAGTTCTCGACTCTCTCTGGGTGTTTACAGAATTCCTGATCGTTTGACGTAATAATTAGCCCCCCCCCTCCACAGCCTCCTCTACAAACAAACTAGTGTACATCTGTTTGCTTTAGTTTGCGTCTGTTTGCTTGTAAAGGCGTCTTGTAACACACTGTATGTCAGACTGTCCTCAAAGGCACAGAACACATCCCGTCATAATGATAGGAAATGGTCCTTAGGTTAAACCGAGAGAGAGAGAGAGAGAGAGAGAGAGAGAGAGAGAGAGAGAGAGTGTGTGGAAGGGATGGACGGATGTAAGGGAACAGACAGTAAAGATAAAATGGGAGAGGTCGAAGCGATGGAAGAAGGGAAAGAGAAACAGGGTTGTAATAATTAATGGTCATGTATCGTTTATCTAAAGTGATTATCCAGCCTGAGCCGACAAGACCTGTATGCCACCCTAGCGAGCCAAGCCACAAAATCACTAGCTGGCATCATCGTTAGTATCTGCCTATTGATTGTTTACTATTAGTTTTCAACCTGACTCTTGGTTACAGTTCATAACATCTTCATCTGCCTAAGTTGGGATTTTTTATCGTTTGGCGATTTTTTTTTAGTTAAGTGACTAGCTGGCGACTCTACTAGCTGAGAGAACTACTAGCTGACAACATCTAATAGCTATGGAGAAAAAGAGGGAAGATGACGTCAAAACATCAACCAATCAACAATCTTTTACAGTTTATACATCAAACCAGACCCCCCCCCCTCCCACACACACTCACAAAAAGAGAAATCTAACCACAGTCCTGTCAACACCACCAAAATGACTGACACACACACACAAACACAGTCTTTCACCTTACACAAACACAACGTCAGCCTGAACAACGACCACACATGAAACTACACTACGATTGTAAACTAATTGAAAACGTCACTTCACCACCGATTAAAAAAAAAAAAAAACAATCAGGAACTAATACCCATAAATTTTAGTTCTACTTGGCATCCACCGTATATGGTAGAGAACAATTTCCTGGTACAAACCCTCTCTGTTCCCTCTCACCTGACCCTACCATACAAATCGAAAAGATGTTTAAGGGATTTTTAATAGGTAAGAGATAACTAATTAATGTTAGTGTAGGTTAAATAAGGTCAGTGTTTATGATTAGACCTGGCATGTTTTGTAAGGTCATGGAGGGTGTGTGTGTGTGTGTGTGTGTGTGTGTTACGAGAGCCATACGTGTATTATACTTGAGAATAGGACGTTGAGATGATGTTATTTATTAAGGAGAAAAAAGTGAGATATTATTGAGAAGAAAGAAATATTTCTATTTTCTTCTTTATTAAGTTTCTGTTCTTCTTTCTCTCCCGTGATGTGTCTCAGTGCTGCGTTAATGTCTCACTTCTCAACGCTATAAGGTATTTCTCAGCTTCTTTCTCTTGTTGATGTGAAGAAAATTTGTCCCAGTATATCCCAGGTAAACATATACACACAGGAACAAGTGTATAGAAAGTTACGGGAATTATTAAACACAGAATTACGTAGAAAGTTTTAAATGTCTAGAAAATAAAACATAATCATTTATCCTTCACATACAAGTATAAATGACTATAAGATCCATATTAATAAGTTTTATCCTATTTTGTATTATTTATTACGTGGATAAAATAACAGCATTAAGATTAGTAGGTCGGCGGGTTTGTCGTCAATATTAACCGTAAAATATATACTGTACAGACCTGCCACTATATGAGGATTCAAGACCCCTATTCAAGCAAGACTAGTGACGGAAATCAACTCCAGCTGCTGCGGTGGTAATGAACAAGAGTGACGGGAGGTTTGTATAGTATGCCCGTATATGGACCACTAACAGGAACAGGCAAGCACAAGAGACCCAGGGTGACGCCCCGACAGATCCCAGCCGATACCCGTCTTCTCTGTCCAATTTTGGGAACGTCTCTATCCTAGCTGACGGCATCTCTGTCTGCTATCTTTACACGCCTCAGACTACCCGACCGCTGATGGCTATACTTAAGAGTCACAATGCATTTTATTGACGCTGGTTTACGTTCATGAAGCTTATTTGGATTTGTGGTGATGCTACGTGTGTGTGTGTGTGTGTGTGTGTGTGTGTGTGTGTGTGTGTGTGTGTGTCTGTGTGTGTGTGTGTGTGTGTGTGTGTGTGTGTGTGTGTGTGTGTGTGTGGAGTTTTAAGACAGCATAAAATTGAAACCTTAAAAAAAATTATGACACGTTTTATTGTACTGAAAGACCGACAGAGAGACAGACAGAGAAAGATAAATGAAAATAAAGTGAGGAATAAACAGAGAGAGAAGAGGAAAGAAGACAAATATACAGACGTAATTCAAGAAAAAAAAAAAGAAACGGAGAGAGAGAAAGAGAGACACTAGAATTGACTTGACTCAACAAACCGCATTGAAGGAACGAGTAACTATGAAGGTCTTACCCATTCTGACACGTCTCATAATTTGTTATTCTATCACACACACACACACACACACACACACTCTATCCTTTCTTCACCAATACCCACAATAAAATATAAAATACGTCCAACTAATATAAACCAAACATATATTATTATTAATTTATTTCCAAGGTTTAAAATCGTTCGCTCCGTAACGTACATAATCCTGGAATGAATTATTGTACATTATTATTTCAACTGAGATATTTGAAATAGTAATGTTATTTTTTGAAAGATATTTGTGTTTTATTGACTGATTTATGGTGATAGAAATAATAATTAATAAGAGATAGACATAAATGAAATATATACCTCCATAGCCTTTGATTAACACACTGTCGACTCTTGCTGACGTTGAGTGCTTACTAAGGGTGATTGTCAGGGCCAGATATATATATAGTGTTAAAGATTTAGTGATATAAGTTAATGCCTGGTAACTCTTATTATTAGTATACCAACCATACGGTAACTTCCTATATTTACTGTAATAATAATAATAATAATAATAATAATAATAATAATAATAATAATAATAATAATAATAATAATAGTAATAATAGTAATAATAATAATAGTAATAATAATAATAATAGTAATAATACAAATAATAATAATACAGTAATAGTGGTTACAGTTGAAGAATATGTTTAGGAGTACTGTACTTACCATAGGACTTGCCAAGGTAGGCATCAATGTTCTCCTCCCGGCGTGACACTTGTTCCTTCTTTGTCTCTTCTTCACGCCTCCTCCCGTTCTTCTTCCCTGCCAACACAAGACCAAACTGACATAATGACAGATAAATAAGTCATTGGGGGAACGCGTACCTCAACCTATCATGAAAATTTCCTCTTTTTAATCGAGTAAAGTAAAATGTGGTTTAGAAATTCGATGAGCATTTGGCCATTTTTGAATAATCAGAGAACATTCGATTTTGTTCTCTTGTGGTTATGTATTTTTTGTAGTTTGTTTTTGTATTTTGGTTTTCAATGTGAGGAGTTTTTATTTAGCCCGGCTGCCACTTACCATCTGTCATAATGATGGTGTAGCTGTAGGCGTCAAACTTCGTCTCGTTGTTGTTGTAACGGTGACGATATCCATTCCTGCCTGACGTGTAGGTCGTTTCTACGGTCACGTCCTCGTCTCGACTGGAAGGTGATCGTCCTCTATGGCGACGACGATGAGCACGACGAGTACTTGGTGTTGTCGTGTCAGTGAGGGAAGATTGAGTGTGGTGGTGTTCGTTCCAGCGGCGTCTGTTGGCCGTGAGTGAGGAGGGACGCTGGTGTGTGTTCACTTCAGACTCCCGACGGAAGACAGACGGAGAAGACTTTCCTCCTTCAGCCACGTCACGTATACTCGGTTCATCATTAGTATACTCTGATATACCCTTTTCTCTGTTGACATCTTTGTTATGATTTTTCCCCCGATGTGAATGATCTGACTGAACTGTAGAGACTTTATCTTCCTCATCACTTTCTGGCGCGTCGAGCAGTTGTTTCTTGCTTCCCTCGCCATCAGACCGGTTGGCGTTGTTATCTTGTGAGTTATCGACCAGGTAATAGATCTCACCATCTTGTGTTATTTGTCCAGTACTGTTTGTTGATGTTTTCGTCCGCACTGAACATCCTCCATCGTCTGTATCGTCCGTCTTTCCTTGTTCACTATCCTTCCCCCTCTCCTTCTGGAATGGAATATTACATTAAACACCTGAAAAATTACAGGAAATATCACAATAAAAAGATGTAGAAGTGAAAATACAAATGGTAGATAAGAATATTTACCCGAATCTGTAAACTATAAGTGAATTAGACCATTAGACCATTACTTATGCTATCCTCTGACGGCGTGAGAAACAACCTAACCTAACATGACTTAATCTGACCTATCCTAACCTAACCTACCTGTGTGGACCAGCCGGGACAGCAGGCCAAGACGGTGCGGGTGTTGGTCTGTGATTGGTCCTGGTACACGGTGCGGTAAAGTGTCCTGGGAAGAGAAAGTGTGTTAGGCTAGAGTCAACACACACACACACACACACACACACACACACACACACACACACACACACACCTGTTTCACACTCTAATCATATAATAACAAAGCAATAACAATAATATATCCTAAAATAAACTAATATAATAAATGATTTATGTGAGTCCAATCATCTTACTCACATTTTTGTAAACATAAGTAACTTTTTAATATTATGATTTTCCGCTAGGGCAGTAATGGAGGAAAATACAATAAGTAAACAAATATAAGATAAATAAATTGAATATATATTTTAAAAGAGTATCGAGAAACAGTTCCATGTCGAGAATACATCTAGAGACAATAACTTTCTCTGGCCGTAGGAGTTAACAGGCATAAGAGAACACCTTATATAGCACCAGGACAGAGTAACACCTATTATCCTTTTTCCTTCCTCGTGTAGTAATTACGGTGGGTCAGGACACACACACACACACACACACACACACACACACTTGTCAGTCCATACTTAGGTGGCGCTGAGAATAATAACCCTAGCTTTTAAGAATTCGATCCCCAGTAGTACCAACTCCCCACCTTGTACTACCCCCAACCACCACCACCACCACCACCTGTAACTCATCTCTTGTTAAATTAGATAGTTAACAGGAATATTGTCCCGTTTCAATAAATAGAAAAGTATTACAGGTTATATCTGAAGTTTAAGATATACGGGAAGGCAGCGTGTGTGTGTGTGTGTCAGTGTAGGGGCGTGTGTGTGCGTGGGAGACCAGACCCTTCATTAACCACCAGGTAACCATCAGCCCACCTGGATAGCTAGCGCCTACCTACTAATTTTTTAAGGATATTTGACTCGGCATTATTTTCACAGGGTTAGCGCGGTGTGTGTGTGTGTGTGTGTGTGCTGAAGGGAAACAGACGCCCCTCTTAAATCTATAGTGTGGTGGCCAGAGATTTTTTTTTCGATAGCGATATTAATCTAACCAAGAATTCGGATTTACCTTTGTAGTATATTACTCAAACTGACACAACAACGACACTAGACTCTTTGTGATAGAAAAAAAACCTTAAAGTAGCAATGCGAAAATACTTGAAAAACTATTACGGTCTCAGCCCAGAAAATCATAAATTGGGAAAGCTGTCAGTGTGGCCATAATTTCTAGGAGGAAACTGTCAGTAGGTGGAGACTTATGGCTTTCCCGTGTGTCCAACTACTGCTTAAAGAACCAAATTTAAAGGTGTTTTAAAATCTGCTGCCAGGGTCAATGTTATCCCAGGCCAAGGTTAAAGGCTTGACCAAGAGGTAAATGTTGTGGGATGGTGAAGGTTATTTGATGACCCTCTGCATGGGCGTCTCTATGTGTACTCTTGATATATTCACTAAGGCTATTACTCTGACACACCCACCACGCCCACACACCCAACAAATCTACTTCCCTCCATGCCCACATACCCCACACTAGTCCCACACACACATCAGTCCCACACACACACACATCAGTCCCACACACATACATCAGTCCCACACACACAACCACAACTCACACAAACACACACACACACACATTCATAACCACCAAACAAGGTCGACAACTCACTCTACATCACTACAGTACAGAACCAGAGAAGAGAACCTCCACGACCTACAGGAGACGTCTCTCTCTCTCTCTCTCTCATCAGTTACATTCAATACTTCTTCAACATAATCCTCCCTCTCCTCCTCTTCTATCTCATCCTGTCTTCTCTTTCATCAAAATACATCTCTCTCTTCTCTCATTCTCAACTGTTATTTCCTCTTTGTTCTCTGATTCTCTCGTTCGTTTCAGTTCTCTTAAAAACAGCATCTTACTTTCTTTAAACTGTGAACTGAACAGAATAGGTTCGATTTTTTAATTGATTTGAAACAATTACCAGAAGATGGATAATTAAAAGTAGAGAAACGAATCATTAGTTTAACCATGGCGTGTAATTGTCATCAAACACTCAGCCAATTGACTCAAGTGATTGTATAGCTGTTTGACCATCATGTTGTATACGTGAAAAGAACCGTGTTTTAGCATCCACCCAACTCAACCTAACCAAACCTAACCTAACCCAACCCCAACCTAACCTAACCCAACCCCAACCTAACCTAACCGCATGTATGTTCTTCAGTGAATTATACCAGACAGGAGATAAGCAACACCGCCAGCTCGTGGACGAAGGGAGATGGTGTGAGACGTGGTCGTAAATACGCCAACTGTGTCGAGTATTTAATTGTTTGGGAACTGTATCTTCGTCGACGCTTCTGGGATACCTGAGCAGGTGCGTCACGCCCAACAGGTGATGGGTGCCTTACAGAAAGAACAAAGTGGTTAGGCCTAGTGTGGTCTGTGTGTGTATGTGTGTGTGTGTGTGTGTGTGTGTGTGTGTGTGTATGTGTGTGTATGTGTGTGTGTGTGTGTGTGTATGTGTGTGTGTGTGTGTGTGTGTGTGTGTGTGTGTGTGTGTGTGTGTGTGTGTGTGTGTGTGTGTGTGTGTGTGTGTGTGTGTGTGTGTGGTGTGTGTGTGTGTGTGTGAATATTACCCAATAAGTCAGGCGAGGAATTAAACTTGTGGTCAAAACAAAACAAAACAAGAGCATTAAAATGTGTCAGGTTGGAGGAAGAGAGAGGAAGAGGAAGAGGGATAGGAGAGGAAGAGGAAGAAGGAGAGAAGGAGAGAAGGAAAGGAGAAGGAACGTGCCTGACTTAATGTGTTGATGGATGATACACACACACACACGGACCATCAAGCAGCGTCTGGTAGTGAGGAACACATGACAACTACGACCATATTATGATAACTTATGAGCCAAAAGGTGTAAGCAATAAGGTGTAGGGTCGCAGGTAGAGATGAAATGAAATACTCCCATAGGTAATGAAGTCTTTTGCATATCACATACATTTTTTTTTCATTCATTCACATTTATATTCATGCTATGTTGAGTTGTAAATAGTTTGCATCACTTAGTACGGTTTCATATATAAGTTTGACGACGTAATCACAACAAAAAATGTCCCGTGATGGCCAGAGTACTTTGACAATTTATTCTCAAACCATGATATACTCTATTCTCAAACCATGATATAGACAGATACTGTATATGAAGATCAACCGTGATGGAGCTATGGACGAAGTAAGTGCACGGGGGATCCTCCTGCTGGGGGCGGTGCAGAAGGGTGGTGCTAAGGAATACAAGTCTTGGCATCGCTCGAGTCGGACAGAGGGTTAATGTACGGGTGGCATGTGGGCGGCAATTTTATACGGGTGGCATGTGGGCGGCACGTAAGTATAAATATGTATAGACATTAAACTGAAACAACGGTAGGAGACTCTAGTATCCGGGCGTGTGGGCGTTGGATGGCATTAATGAAGGGGGGGTGTGTGGGCGGACACCTACCGACACACTTCACCACCAATGAAATAGTTGGAGGAATTTAACTTTGTCTATATTTACGTGAAAATTATCTCTATGTGGCTGTGAGTCTTATATATATCCCTTGGAACACACACACACACACACACACACACACACACACACACACACACACACACACACACACACAAAACCAATCAATCATTAAAAATTACGTAAATAACAAGAGTGTGTGACGCCTCCAACCAGGTCAACGTGGCGCTGTCAGTGAGGGGAG